CCTGCAAGTATGTGGACACTTACATTGATGGACAAAAGTCCAGTGCTGCTTGGAGGACATAAAAAAAATTGAAAAATCCCAAAAGATGTGGAGATAACTTCCCATTGATCAAAGAGCAGCAATGGGTGAATTACTTTGAAGAATTATTTCATGAGGAACGACCCGAATTCGCATGGAACCAATCCGATGAAATGATATCAAATAAGGAAGATATACCGCCAGTCACAATCATAGAACTGGATTCAGTTCTCAAAGGAATGAAAAATAGAAAATCCTCCGGCCCTGGTTCTATTCCAATTGAATTAATTAAAGCAGGCCCGACCGAACTCAAAATGGCACTGGCAGAAAGTATGACACTTCTGTTAAATGGTGGAGAGATCCCCGAAGAATGGAAACAGGGTTATATCACTCCAGTTTTCAAAAAAGGCCAAAAGAAAGACGTTTCCAACTACAGAGGTATTACTGTTACCAGCTCGCTGAGTAGATTATACGGCCGGATAATTAAAAGCAGAATTGAAAATGATTTAAAGGAAGAGATCAGCGAGGAACAGGCTGGCTTTCGAGCTGGAAGATCATGCACTGATCACATTTTTAGTCTCTCACAACTTATAGAAAAGAGGATGGCCCACGACCGTGAACTCCATATGATATTTGTAGATTTACACAAGGCCTATGATTCAGTACCTCTAGCGAAATTGTGGAAAGCTTTGGAAGCCACATCCATTAAGAGATACCTCATCAGAACAATTCAAGAGCTCTATAAAAATATAAAGGGGGCTATAAAAATAGGAGATAGAGTGTCTAGAAGCTTCTTCATTAACAAAGGATTGAAACAGGGCTGCTGCCTTTCACCCCTGATTTTCAACTTTACATAGAACAAGCCCTTAAAAACTGGAAAAGATTGTGCTGTGGAATGGATGTTCAAATCGGGAATGATGTCATCTACAATTTGCAGTATGCCGATGATCAAGTCATAATCGCATCGGATCCGGATGATGTTAGCTATATGATGAGGAAGTTGCTAGACACGTATTCCAGATGGGGTCTGAAAATCAGTGAAAGTAAAACAGAGTATATGGTTTTCAACGCTCCAAATTTGCCCCTTGAAATTGATGACTGGACGCTAAATGTCAGCCAGCAGTTCAAGTACCTCGGATACTGGCTATCTTCAAAGGGTGGTAGTGAGGTTGATATCGAACATAAAATAAATAATGGGAAAAGAATAATAAGTTCGATAAATTCAACGCTATGGAGTAAAGAGATAAGATTAGAAACTAAAAAGAAGATATACCATTCCTTTGTAGAAAGCGTAGCCACTTACGGATCAGAAGTCTGGACACTGACAAAAAAGATGGAAAATAAGTTGCTTTCCATGGAAATGAATTTCTGGAGAAGAAGCTGTGGCATATCCAGAATCGAGCGGATCCCAAACGCAGCTATTAGAGACAAGGTCGGATGTCAAAAGAACATCCTTCACCTGATCGGGACCAAACGGTTAAAGTGGTATGGCCACTTAATGCAGATGGATGAGAACCGCTGGCCAAAGAAAATCTATAACTATATGCCACCTGAAAGAAGGAAGCGTGGAAGGCCAAAGAAGAAATGGACAGAAGACGTGGAAGAAAGCATGGCAGCCAGAGGGCTTCGTGAAGGAGATTGGATGGAGAGGGAGCAGTGGCTTTTGGGTGTTGAGGATATGACTCCTTAAGTTGTATAAAACCCAAATAAAAAAAAAATGTCTAAGGTGGGCGAATTTTTTTCCGAAAATAAGGTGTTTTTTACCACTGTGCGGCGGTTCAACTAAGGATTGTTAATGATCAGCACACTGGCAAAACGGAGGATACCCTGCGAGCACTAAAATCATTATAGTTATATCAATAATATTATATTTCTGGAAAAATATGGGCCGAACGGTACGCGATTATGTCGTAAAGTGTGAAATCTGTCAGCGAGCGAAGTACGATCGACAGCCTCCAGTAGCTGAACAAGTGGTCTATCCCACCGCACCGAAATCACTACGATCAATATAAGTAGACCCTCCGTGGATTCAGATATACACTGATGGGTCTATGAACTAGCAAAATACAATGGAGGGGCAGGTGCCTACTCTCAACTGTTTACTATTTCGAAACCGGTGGCGAAATGGACCTCAAATTTTGACAGCGAAATAAGAGCAATTTTATTGGCACTGCAAGCTTTGTCACACTTAGATGCCAAAAATCTCATATTGTTTGTGTATTCTCGCTGTGTCACGGCCAAATGACTCTTTTGCTCAGGATATTCTGAATTGCCAAAAGATCATAGAGGAACTATGTCTTCGAGGAATTGAGGTTTCTTTTCAGTTGATACGAAGTCACTGTAATATCTATGAAAACGAAATGGCTGATAATTTCGCAAAGGAGGGCTCCACATTGAACCAGCCAGAAAATGAAATATCATATCAGGGAGGAAAAAAAGAAATAAATAAGACCAGTGAGACTCTATTACTGGATTCTGTAAAGAGCTGTATTGCCGAAAAATTTGTTTAATAAAGCGAATGGAGGTCCCATGAATCTGCCGAGAAAGGAGGCTGTGACAGAGTTCCGAATGATAACAGGCCACAACTACCTTAGGAAACACCTGCATAGAATAGGAGTGGCAGACTCTCCACATTGCAACCTATGTGATTCGGGAGCACATATGGACACAGTGCATTTAGTTGTATGCTCACGCTTGTTGAACATAAGAGATACCACGTCCTCCAAATCGAAATGGTACTGGGCTCAAGATCTCTGATGGCGAAAGCCGATAAAGAGAGGCTTTATTAAAAAAAAAAAAAACAAGTAGACAATTATTCTAACCAAGGCCAATCATGGGTAACAATGTTGGATACATTTAGTAAAATCACGTTGGCCCATCCCATTAAAAAGAAAAACCCCGGGCAGTTTGGAAAGGGATTTTGCAATGGTGAGCGACTTATCATGTGCCGGACGAAATTCTGTGACTTACCGAGAATTTGACGTCATTATTAGAAATGAACGTAAAACGTTAGATATCTCTTGGCGACTAAACACCCCTCACCACATGTAAGGTAGAGATGCAGTGGAAAGATTACATAACACCTTAGATTACTTAAACTGGGAAGAAATTTGGATCCATTGGATGCTATGCTGCGAACAGTGATTGCCTACAATACATTTCATATTGGATGTATCTCCAGTAGAAATCGTTTTTGGTCAAAGACGACGCGATAGAGATCTCATCACAACCATAATAATAAATTATGGGAAGCACTATATCAAGCTCGAGTTGAACGACAGATAACATGGGGAACATTAGAGAAAAACTAATTCACGAAAAACAGATTAGCATGGACCGCGCAAATAATCGCCCTGTGGTTTATAGCAAGGGTCTGATAACATTAGGGACAACAGCGCCAGGCAGCAGAGAACAGTGAGGAATACTTACGAGAGCCCCTGTTTAGGCAACTTTTCAAATTTTTAATTAAGGCCAGACGAATAACTCTCATGAGTTCGTAATAGGCAACATTCAAAATTATGGGCAACATTCTACTTTTATGCAGTGGACTGTATTTTAATGGATTGGTAGGCTATACTGATTGTGCAAAATTATCTTACTATCTTTATGCCAGCTTACATCTCTTTTTTAACTCGAGGGCGCCCTCGTAGCAGGCACTGTCTGGGTGGCTAATAGTGGTGGAACGGGTCGAGAAACCGGCAGCTCTTGCGGATTAAGTGTTATCTTTTAGATCTTATGATCTGCCCCCACCACTCGCCGTAACGTGAGAAATTCAAACCATTTTCGCACAAACAGTCCCTATAAAATTATAACCATCAGGGAGAATAATTTGTTCTCCATTCGGGATGTAAATTATCCGGTCAGATAGAGTACGGTGCACCTCGAAGAACTTCCTATACCCTGGGTAGTATCAGACCTCGAGCCATAACTACATACTAATGCGCCACGACAGGGATAGCCGGACTGGCGGAGGTGTAGCTATGTACGTGCATGAAAGCCTGAAAACCCGAATTCTCCATTGTTCCACGCCATCTGATCAGCCTCAAGTCGAGTTCCTAATTGTCGAGATCTCATATAACAAATCTTCTCTCCTCTACACCGTAGTATATCGTACTCTTCTTGTACCATTTGATCCATCTTTCGAATCACCCCTCTTCAACTTTGTTCCTCTTTATTCCAAAATTATCATTTCAGGCGACTTAAACACTGATTTCCTTTCCGACTCCAGCGATAAATCATATCTTGAAAACCTTTTTGCTCTCGTCACCTATTCATCGTTCCTTTTTCTCCTACTCATCAGACAGCCAGGTCCGACACTTGGTTGGACCTGTACATTATTGACTCCGCTCAGAACCTCCTTTCGTCTTCCCAATATCACACAGAATCCAAATACCATACAGAATCCAAATACCATACAGAATCCAAACTCCTCCGATCCTACCTAGAACCGTAACATTTCGTAACCTTGATGACCTAACCCGAGAAAAAATCTTACCCAGCCTAGAAACTGTAGATTGGAATAGATTATATTCGACAATTGGTGCCATGGTGGATATCCTCACCTCCAATCTTCTTAATATCCTAGAAGCCCACGCCCCTCTCAAAACCTCTACATTTCATCGCCACCCCGCTCCCTGTATGTGTCAGCAAATTAAGGATCTCCAGAAGAGGCGTGAACCCCGTAGACCCTTTAGACGTACTAGGCTGGCCGAAGGCTATCTAGCTTTTAGGGAGCTCCACAAACTGACACAGACCACAATCTGATGAGCCAAATCTAGTCTCCCCTCTAGTCTATGTTTATAAGTGGGGTGGGTATATATGTACATATATATATATATATATATATATATATATATATATATATATACATACATACATACATACATACACATTTTTTAATATTTTATTTTATATATATATAAAACTACTGACGATTGCAAGCTCATAAATCATTCATCATCATAAAGCAAAATCAATCATTTGTTTTTATTTTTTTAATTGAAATAATCTATGGTAAAAACTTAATGATAAACAGTCAAAAAACATAAAATTAAGGAAACCATTAAATAAATAAATAAAACTCTTTTATTAAAATAACAAATATTTATGGCTAACTTTCTAAACTAAGTATATCATCAACAGAATCAATAACACATTCTAACATGCTCAATAAACGTGGACTACTTATAACAGATATAGATTTTAAGTATTCACATAATGTAACCATATACATTTTGATGAAAGACAGCTCCACCTAAAACATAAAATAAAAATTATTAATAAAAAAACTACTACTTAACAGTTTGGACATATTTCAAAATGAGATTAATAATTTTATTTTTATTTTTACGGTTTCCATTTAGCTTATTGCAAATAAATAATAAATATTAAAAAAATCTATTTGGCTGAAGCTGAAAAAACCTCAGTTGAAATTCCACTAATTTAGATTTTAAAAATCATCCTATCTTTCAAGTAAGCTCTAGCCTATTTTCCAGTCTTAATAAATTCATACTTCTTTAAAGAGCAGTTTGATTTTATTTAAATTTAGCACAAACCTACAATCCATATTAGACATCCATGCTCCTCTGAAAAACAAAACCTTACGCTGCCCCACTGCACCTTGGCTGACCAGTGAGATAAAGGAAATGATGCTGCCTGTGGATTATGCGTCTTTCAAGGAGCTTCGTAATGAAACCCAATCCGCAGTCCCACTTACTAAAGCCACCTACTTCCATAATGCCCTGTCCAATGCTCCCGACTCCAAATCTAAATGGAAAATCCTCAGTAACCTATCCCTACCAGAATCCAATAATCTTAGTTCCTTCTCTCTTTCTCCAGATGATCTCAATAACCATTTCCTATCCTTCACTCACACTTCCTCTCCTACTTTTGATATTAAACATCACAACTTCAATCCTGAAGACTTTTTTCGCCCATGTGTCCTACGGTGAATTACATTCCACTATTATAAAATCCCATACTAATGATTATGGTCGTGATAATATTCCAGTAAAACTAATAACTTATTCCTATTCTTTACCATTTCTACAACTTTTCATTGCAAAACTCCATATTCCCATCCTCCTGGAAAATTGCCCTAGTTCGACCTTTGAATAAAATTTCCAACCCTACCTCACTGCGCAACTTCTGTCCTATTTCTCTCCTATCCCATCTTTCAAAGCCGTTAGAACGCCTTGTCCAAAATCAACTCTCCAACTTCATAGAGGAACGTTCCCTTATCAACCCATTCCAATCTGGCTTTCCACCTGACTACTCAATGCAATCCGCTCTCCTTAAAATAAGCCATGACATCCAAAACCTTACTCTCCTCATCCTTCTAGATTTTTCTAAAGTGTTTGATATAGTTGAGCATAACATCCTCCTTACTAAATTTCACAATCTTCCTCTATCCAACAGTGCCCCTGTGTTGGTTCAAATTCTTCCTTTCAAATCAGTCCCAGTATGTAGTCGTCCCAGGTCAACCTCCATCTAAGACCCTCCCCCTCTCCTGTGGTGTCCCTCAAGATTCCTCTCTATCTCCTACTCCGTTTGCTATTTACATTGATGACCTTCCCCTCCTGACCTTCCAATACCATATCTATGCAGATCATTTCCAAATATGACTGTCCTTCCAGCCCTCCGGCCTATTATCGGCCATAGAAAAACTTCAAGAAGACTTGGATAGGATTTGTCTTCAAGAAGACTTGGATAGGATTTGTGACTGAGCGAGAGCTAACAAGTTGAAGTTGAATGCGAAAAAGATGATGGCAATCTTAATAAGCTCCAATCACCTCCTTAAAACTGTTCCTAATATTCCAACTCTGTTCCTGCATAAAAACCCTATCAAATTTTACCCCATCATCAAAAACCTTGGGATAACCTTTGATCAAATGCTTTCCTAGAAACATGTTCAATATTTCCTGCCGTACCATTTCCACCCTAAAACGTCTAAATTATTCCGTCACCTGTTTCCTTTTGTAACCCACAGGCTCCTAATTTGAATGCAGAAAAGACTAAGGCAATCTTCATTGGCTCCAATCACCACATTCAAACCGTTCCTAATATTCTAACTCTGTTCCTGCATGATAACCTTGGACTAACCTTCAATCAAATGCTTTCCTAGAAAAACCATGTATCCAATATTTCCTGCTGTACCATTTCTGCCCTAAATTATTGCATTCACCTATTTCCCTTTAAAATCCTTGGGCTCCTAGTCACTTCCTTAATTTTTCCCCAATTCGACTGTTGCTATATGGTATATGTATGGGAATCTCTGGAGATCTCGAGGCGAAAGTAAAACGTTTGATGAATTGCTTTGTATGATTCATCTTAGAGATCCCAAGGGACGCCTCTGTTTCCTGTTTTTATGCAGAGTTGAAGTGGCTTTATCCTTCCTACCATAGCAAGTATTTCCTGGCATCCTTCCTGTTTCAAGTCATCCAATCCCACCGTCCTTCATACATCTCCGAGCGCCTTCAATTCAAATCCTCTGTTCGTTCCCGCAATACTCGTTCCCGGTCTTCTGATTTATACATAAGGGCCCACCAAACCGCTGCTTTCAACAGATTATTCATTTTCCGATCCTCATCCCTATGAAACTCCATCCCTTCCCACATCCGTCAATCCAATACCCTTCCTACCTTTAAATACCGCCTGTTCAATCACTTCTTATCCATCCAGTCCCCATAAATTTGTATATAGATATTACTGTAAATATGTACACAAATTATTAGTTTGTTCTTCATTATTTTTACTTCATGTTTTTTTTTTCTATTTTTTATTATTAACTGATTAAAATTAGTAATTGGTAATTGGTTGACTGTCGTGGATAATGAAGAGAAGAATAGTTGGGATGGTCAGTCAAAAAGGAAGGCAAAAATAAATATTATCATTTATTTTTGCCTTTTTTTTTGACTGACCACCCCAACTATTCTTCTCTTCATTGATTAAAATTAGAATGTAACTTATATATTTTTTTTACTATGACTATTTAATTACTCTGTAATTTTGTTTATGTATCTCTGAGGCTCCTTAGCCCACATTTCTGTCTTGCTGTTTTATACAAAAGGGACTCGTCCCAGAATAAATAAAGTATTATTATTATTATTAAAATGTTCCTTGACATCTTGAGATGGTTAGGTTATCATTTTAATGGTCAGATCATCAAAAATCTGTTTGTTTCACAGTCAGGCATGGATGGAGAAGGAAAAACAACATAAAATAATTACAATAATGGTGATGAAATTATAGTTTTTTAATGAAATTAATTCATCAATGGTAGAATGGATTTAGGCATCATATATTTATAATTTTTTTTATTTATAACTCAATTCTTGCTAAAGTTTTATGTTTCTCTAACGCTAAATCGTATGAAATTATGTCACATGTTGGAAGATTATTTATTTTAGACCTAAATTTTTTTTCCATAAAAATTTAATAATAGGCCTAAATAGTGAGTGTCAAAATATTCACGTACCTGGGTGTGGAAATGAATTCTGAAAATAAAATTGCTGCTGAGGTAAGCAAGAGGATCATGACTAGAAACCAGGTGTACAATGCCAACCAAAAATGTTTTCGATCATAGCTCCTGTTACAAGAAACAAAGATAAGATTATATAAGAGTTTTTAAGACCTAATATGACTTATGCAGCGGAGAGATGGGCCCTTTGTGCAAGCACAATTACTATGCTGAATATTTTTGAAAGAAAAATATTGAGAAGAATTTATGGAGCTGTTTGTGAAGAGGGTGTGTGGATGTATTGAAAAAATTCGAATCTATATGAACTATATAATAGCGCCGATATAGTTCATTTTGTTAAAACTAGACATATAGAATGGTTAGGCCACGTGGATAGAATGGACAGCAGCAGGGTGCCTTATAGGGCATTGTTTTCTACAATGTATGGCACAAGAAGAAAAGGATGGCCAAGCAAAGATGGCTACAGGATGTTGAAAGCGAACTTAATTAAAATACTGGGTGTGAGAAACTAGATGGATAGGGTGAAGAATGGAGATGATCGACATGCTATAATCCAGGAAGCCAAGGCCTACCCCGGGCTGTAGAGCTGCATAGTTAGTAATTAAATAGTGAGTGCTAAGTGCATGTAGAACACAGGAAAAACATAATATTGAATGAATTTAAACAACATTTAATATGGAAAAAGAGTAAATAATCCAATTTTAACAGAAATGCTAATGTGCGATCAATGTGCAAACAAAAGGTCAATTGTTCTAAAAGATTAAAGATGCTAAATGTACAAGGGTGGGGTGTACAACACTCAGAATGCAGAAAGAATTGCACCCCAAACAATGCAAACTACCATCCTAAACAATCCGAAATTCACTTTACTCTCCCCTCCCCCCCCCCCAAGAATTCAATCCCTCCCCCCAAGATTGGTTTGTAATCCCCAAGTGGACAACCATGAGTAACAATTAATGGCTTATCAAATTAAATATTTAAAATTTGCAATAAACCCAATGATGTGCAAACCAGCTAAACAACTGACATGCTTGGTGGTCGGAGACAGACTGAGAAGTGTTTTGACCATGGTTTCTCCATACACCATTGGCCATCAGGGTTTTTCCACATACTATCAACTAGCTTGGTGGTATGATTGACCATAATAATACCTACACAGCTTTAAACTTAGTTTCAAAGGAACATAAAGAGGTCCCTACCGAAGAAAATCTGGTAGAAAGTTTGAAGAGTAAAGCACTACATGGTTGCTTTTACAATGCTTTATCTCAATCGAGAATTAACTGGGAGGCCTCTAATAAATGGCTTAAGAAAGGATACTTATTTCCCGAAACTGAAGGGTTTATTTTGGCAATACAAAACCAGGTAATATCCACCAATGGTTACAAAAAATATATATGTGGAGAAGATGTAAGTGACCGATGTCGCCTATATAAAAATACAATAGAGTCAATTCAGCATATTTCATCGGGATGTCAAGCGTTGGCAGGTAAAGAATATCTGATGAGACACAATAACCTGGCTAAAACTGTTCACTAAGACCTGGCCTCATTAAATAACATGACAAGAGATGATGTTCCTAATTATTCATGAGCCCAAACCTGTGCTGTCAAAAGAAAATAGAATAATATATTGGGATCGATCAATAATTACAGACCACATGGTAGTAAATAAACTGGACGTTTTAATAATTGATCAGAAGACACAAAGTGGTTATGTCATTGATTTAGTGGTCCTAACCGATGATAATATCGGAAAGCAGTTCTCCTAGGCACAGC